TAGACGTACATACCGATGTGGGACCCCGGTACTTCCCATATCTCGCACCGTTGGAAAGATAAATGCATTTTTCTCAAAACCAATTGATCAACACATCAATGCGTAAACACTCATATCATTTGACCAGAATAAGTTATGAACATGTCACTAGCATCAAACAATATAAAAATTCTCGCGCTCTCAGAAAATGACCTCCAAATATCAGTCAGAGGTCAAATAACGCAATGACCTTGAATCACCTTGACCTTGAAATATGACAATTGAGTATCGCCCAAATTTCCATAAACAAAATATCACACCTCAAGTTCACTCAGGAGCAAAGATATAGCCAATTTAAAACGGTAAAATTAGCTGAAATGCCCTGTATGTTAATATTGGGAAAAAAAGTTTTGAATGATTGCATTATTGCCATCTCAAAATCACAATGTAAATGTTCTGGTCTGAATATGATACCTAATTTATTCCTAATGGTTGATGTAATAACAGAGATAAGCTTAAGATATGTGGTCATTTTTTTATCAGGTAAAAGGGCGAAAACTACCGCAAACGTATTTTCATTGACAAGAACATGAAAAGTAAATAATTGATTGAATTGTTTCGGAGCTGATGAAAAAGTTCCATCTACATAAACTCTATCAGAATTAGCTAAATATCGCAAAAAAATTTCAGAGCTAAAAATCATCATTTTATTATCATTATAAATTAGAAATGGTTTTTTATCTAAAGTTAGTTGATAATCAATTGGGATTGTTATATTTTTTTATCAATGGGTGGAAGTAAAGAATTACGTTTGGAATACAATTGAGACTTCATACTGATGAATCTAGGAGCAATTTTTATATCTTTGTTATTATTAATTAACTCCAATGTTCTTTGCTCTCGAACCTAAGTTGAAAATATCACAATGTTAGTGAATTGAATTTAAGTTTAACAAATTTCTTAATTACTTACTAAGTTGAATATCTGTTTCAATGACAGATTCGGAGATTTTTCAATTTTTTAAACATTTGCTCCCTACATTTGAGCTTTTCAATTCTATCCAAATGGTTTGAATGGTTATGTTGAATTGGATGTTTGATTATATCCTCATTTTCACTTATCATAGTGACATTACAATCACTTTGAACGCATTTCCAATACATTCTAGAGTTAACCTTATTTTTTAATAAGTAAAGCATATCACAATAAATCAAACTTTCATTATTACGTTTATTGAGAACGAAATCCATGTTTTGAATATTTGAAATAAAACATCAAACTGAGCAAACCTAACTCTGACTTCGACCTGAGAATAGGTTAAACTTCTTAAAATCCTAGAATGAATTTTCCCCTCAAGCCCTGAGTTTAAACGTTAAGGATTAAAGGATTGGTCGAGCAGGAATAGACCCTTCATTTTGCTAGCTTATCTGGTTCTCGAGAAAAAAAGGATTACCGGATTTGTTTTAAAGTTTTTCCTCAAAGGTTAATTACAGCCAGCAGTGAAATTGATCCATCGCTACTTTCCTAGATTTGCGTGGTCCTCTGACGAAATGATTAATCTTAAGTTCTTTATCATCTTGATGATCGCGAGCAATTTATTTCGAAATACTTTTTGAATGTTATAACTTATCATTGGCTCGAGGCAGTTTAAATTTTGTATATCAAACAGGTTTGATTTTTTGAACCTCGAAATAGCTGCCTGTCGTCAATTGCGTGTTTACATTAAATTCGGTTAAATTACAATGACCATGAGCTTCTGTAATCCACAGAATTAAATTTTAATAAACAGCTTAAAGGTATCGATAAAGTCAAATATAATGGTTCCTGGAATCATAAGGAAATGATTGTGTTATTAATTTCACTTAATGTTACTCTGCACAAAATTGAGGCTTAGATTACTCTTTGCTTTTTCATTCAAATGGGACGAAATACCTTGAATAGATACAGAAGGAAAAGTCGGCTAAAATCCATGATAATTTGTTTTTAGCAAAAAAATTGATAATTACAGATGTCTAAAGATAATTGTTCAATATACAAAAGAAACCTTTCGCGTTAAACAATCAAGAAATAGCTGTACTTGCAATTACCTTGCTTCAACTTTTCACGATTTTCTTGGATATTAAATTATAAAAATATTAATGTTGAACTGCAAATGTCTTTTCAAATTGTATCTCTGTTTTCAGATTTAACCCGTCAATATATTCATGATAAATGGAATTCAACTGTATAGTGAAAAGCTGTATACTTTTGTCTCTACATTTTGAGAACTTGGATTGTGAGAAAAAATGAAAAAGATTCACAATAATCTTTCAGTAAGGAGGACCTGCAAAATCGCCTGTTCTCGATTTTTTTTGAAAGGGTACTTTTTAGACTCAAAATTCAATGCCAATTTCATAAATCAAATATATTTTTTATATCATGCATAGTTTATGAGATATCGGCCAAAATATCTAAATATCACATAGTATTAGTGACCTTTTAGACATAACGAAGATGCCAGTCTATGTCTTG